TCTTATGTCAACAACTGAACCAAAAGCTAATTTTATTAATCAATTGGATTTAATCGCTAAAACTGACTGGCAGGTTGCTATGTAACATTTAATGGAACAGTTCTTATTCAATTTGAGAACACATTAACCCGTTTAGTGTCTCTCCTGTCCTAAACGAATTCCTCTGAAAGTGGACAGAAGGAGCACAGAAGCTCACGTAGTATTTCACATGTGCGAAACTGGTCCAGACCCGGCAGTGTCCGTGACGTGCGAGGCCGAATGGAGACGGACAGTCTGGAAAGCGGGCCAGTGAAAAGCTTGCGTGGTACCGCGTTGATAAGATCAGGGTGCGAGGCGGATAACGGGCAGGCAAAGATGCTGCGATGAGCCACACCAAGTGCAAAGTCTGTCCCTCGCACTACAGACGCAGCGGTTTTGCTGCAAGGAGATTTGGCTTAGTGTGCCTGCAATAAAGAAATCATGATAAAAAAAAAACCTTTGCACGGCGGCGCATTGGTTAGTGCTGGTGCCCTGGGATCAGTTCCCATGTTCCCTCCCACACGGGTTTCCTCCCATGGTCCGGAGACATACTGGTAGGTTAAACTGGTTCTTGTGTCAAGGGGGTAGCCTGCTTTGTACCCTTTACTTGGCAGGATAGGCTCCAGTTCCAGCTCCCCGCAGCCCTGAACTGCATTAAGCTGTTAGGAGGTGGATGTATGGATGTCAGCTGGACTTAGTTTGTGTTGATGGGACCTTTGCTTGTAGTGACACCTCTTAAGATGTGTCTTGCTTGTTGTATAGCTGAGCTTTAAATATACAACAAGCAAATCAAGTATCTTCAATGGTTGACAAGAGAGATAGAAACACCAATAGAACAGGAATAATTTTCTCTTTCAAGAAAACGTGAAGAGAGGAGACCGACGAGAGAGTACCGTCAGTCAAGTTGTCCGACGTGAATACCTGACGTGTAGCGTGTGTTCATGCCGAAGGATTTTAATGTTAAACTCGTTCTGTTTTCTGTGTGTTACTGCAGCACAAGGATGCTATATTGGGCTATATCTTGATAAGCTCATAGGTTATCGCGGTCAGCTCCTTCACCCTCTAGGAAAGACACAATATGAGGTCAGTGTCAAAGCTGTAAAATTAGGCTATTTTAGGAGCTAATTTTAGTAGTATTTAGTTCTTAAAAAAAGCATTGTAGTGTATAATGTTAAGAAATGGTGCAAGTTCTGGGAAATCATTGTTTTGGTCGTGTTTGGGGAAAAAAAGGAGAAACAAACTTTACTTTCCGTCCACGACGGGAATCGAAAAAATTCGAATCCACTTTTACGGCTTTCAGATCCCGCAAGATGTTTTTGGCTTAGTATCCTGACTGGTAAAAAAAAAAACAGTAAAAAAAGTCTGTGCAGAGTCAAGTGAAGTGAACTTGAGCCAGTGGCTGACAGGACCCTTGGGAGCTGATTAATATCCTTGGTAGCTGTAGGTGTGGATTTCCTCTCTGTCTCTCGGAATAGTTTTCACAAAAGGACACTGAAGGCACAAAAGGGTTTTAAAGAGCCGTCGGCTCAGAGCCTTTTAGTTGCCTCAAGACTTTTTTCTTCTTTGGACGTCAAACTTTGTGGAGATAAATACTGGGTATCCAGTGTTAGAGGAATAACAAATTGGAAAGAAACTTTTGTTTTGGGAGGGACAGTCTTTTGTTGGAGTCTGAAATATCTGGTCGGATCGCCCAGCTAGGAATCCTTCTGTGTCCCTCTGAGCAACCTGGATTAGAGCTTGTTGCACTTTCGTGCAGATCCTCTTACAGAGATGGACTTTTGTGGAAGAGAGAGCTTGGGGAGGGAAAGGAGAAGAGTTGAATGGATTTACTTTTGTGATGAAGAGTCACAAAAGAAATAGGAAGTAACTGATACATCCGCACACATGGTGTCTGTGTTGAAATAGGTAGGTTACAATTAAGGATCCTGTTTTTGAGGACTGGAGTGTACCTTCAAGTGTTTATGCATATCATAGTTGTGGTGGTTGGAGTATTGCCGTTTATTGACTTAAACAGAGAGACATCTAGCTTGAGTTTTGTTTTGTTTTCTGAACAATCTCGTTGTATTATGCTATTTTTGGGCGCCACATGTAGCCAAAGCTACTGCTTGCTAAATGAACAACAATCTCAGTAACAGTAACCTGCTCTCAGTGTTTTTTCTTGAAAGGCAGAGACAATTGGGAATTTCCAACGGATTTGTGAGTTGCTGGGAGGCGTACAGGGGAGAATCAATATCTCTCGGGTTTGTGCTGGAAAGAAAAGGCAGCACCTTCATGCCTTAGAACGCCTGTCCTCTCTGGGTCTGTTTCCAGATTTAAAACATCTAAAATATGACTGCTTGGCAGAAAACTAAATCTTGTTTATTTGCTGTATATTCCAGCTTCAGCTATGCAACCGGAGAGGAGAAATAATAAATAGCTCTCAGTTAATGGTTCAGAGCAAGACTGGGTTACTAAAGTCCTGGTTGAAATGTGTAGTCCCCCTCCCTGCCCTCAATGAGGGGCAGGGTTTTGTGTGAATATAGTCTAATCCAGCTTCTGACTTCAGTTATTCTGCATGGCTGGAGTCTCCTTGCAGTGATGGTACTCATGGTTTTTCTAATGGGCGGGTGGGTTTTTATCTTCCCAGACAGATAGTAAAGTAGTCTTTATGAGATCTAGGCGCTGTTAGTGAGTGTCTTCGTGGGTATGCTAGTTTTTTTTTTACAGTGCTGTATAGGTGAGCTATGTGTGGAGTCTCGTTTTTATTTACTGTAGGGCTCCACTCTGCTCCTGAAGTTTACTGTAAAATCCCCTGCAGAGAAGCCAGGTCTTTTTCTGTGAATGGTACAATTACTGCTCTATCTCGGGGCAGTAATAAAGTTTCAGTTTTTATGGGTGCTAATTATCAGGGAGTGGCTGGACTGTTGTGTTGCCTCAGCAGAAGCTGACTGCAGATTTTCTTGTTTGGCACATGTAGGCTCACAACATGAGAACTTAAATTTTTCAGAGATGTGGGAAAAAATCTGGTCAGTGGGGCAGTGTTTATTCATGAATTATAGACAGAACATAATTTCCCTTTAGTAATCAAAATACCAGATTAAAACATTGAGCCTTTAAGTGTTGCTATGAAAAGCCTCTTTTTTTTTTCTTCATATTCTAAAATAACCACTGAAGCCATTAATTTGGTTACTGAATGGTTTAATGAGTGCTAATGTGTTTTGTACTGTCTGGAGGAAGCACCTGCTCTTCATAAATATGTATGGATCATGCCACTGGGTGCTTTTTTTTTGGCCTCCTGGCTCAACATGCAGAACTTTGATGGGTTATTTTCTTTTGAGTGCACGGCTGTAAGGACCTGGTAACTGAGAGAAATTAGGCTTATGAGCAGATGCCTTATTGTGATTTGGCTTTGCACCCTTATTCAAGCAAAGTGTGAAATGTGGCCCGTGAATCAGATTTCAGATGGTTATAGTAATCTGTTCATGATATATAAAGGCATATAGATCAGGCTGGTGGGTTTTACACATTTCAAATGCAGTTAATGTGAGTTGCTTGCTTTTACAGGGAAGTTTAGGTTTAGTGTGTTGTATGATTATAAGAGGTCAACAAAGACCACAATATAGTTCCTGTCATGATGATCGGTTTATCAGTGCCTGTCAAAGTGTTAAGTTAGTGTTCATCCAAAATTCCATCTCACTACTTTTGCCTTTTCTTAAATGAAAAGGAGGAGTTTTTCATTGTGTGTTCAGCTTGGGTAACTGCTTTTGCAAGAGCCCAATCACTGTTCTTTATTATGGACTGATATTCGACACTTTAGTTTGGTTTATGTTAGTTTTGTTTTAGAACATGAAATTTGGGCCGTTCTGGCCTAGAATATAGAGTAAACATCCTCGGTTTCATTTCAAGGGTCAGTTTAAGGATCACATCCAGATTACTTAAATTGTGTACTTCCAAGTGTAAAATAAACATGATTTACTTGTACTGGCCTTCGGTGAATGCAGTATGTTGCAATTCCTCAAAAAAAAAAAATCAACCCGAATTTGAAAATAAACATGATTTCTTTTTTTACCGTCCCGAGGCTGGGTCTTTTGGAGATTTTTTTCAGATGGCGGATTCTGTGTTTATGGGGGGGGGAGGCTAAAGTGTGAAAGTGTTTAAATCGGCCAGTGTTTTTCGCCATGGGCTACCCTGCATAGCTATCTCATCACCATAACCGGAATGCCAGGGAGACCCGTCTGTTATGGATTTGGAGTGCTTGAAGCTTGATAGCCAGTGGAGTGTGTATGTCGTGCTCCTTTTGTTAAAAAGGGGGGAGTGGAGAGGGGCTTCCTTTGTTGTCCTGTTGGAGAAATTTTGTGAAACGTGCCGAAACGTCATTCTTTTTAATTCGAGAAGTGAGAGCGCCCTCTGTTGGGGTGTTGTTGTCGGTACTGCGCAGTTGCTGGCTGAAGTGTTGTCTTTGTCAGGTATGGGGCAAAATGTTTTTGAGCTTTTTGAGAAAAGGCATCCGTTTCCATCAGGTGTCAGTTTAGGAATTGGCGTGAGCTGTGATACAGTAAGGTATAAAACGATTGTTTTTAGGTGAAGATAATTGAGCTGGGTGGAATTATGAAGTAGCATTCATATAAAAATACAGGGATAAAGATAGTCGCTTTGATTTGCCAAAGGGGCCCGGCATTAATGTTTGATAATTGCAGTATTCTTACTCTTGTTTTTTAGGATTTTGCAAGTCCTCATCATTCATTTTAATGGAATCAGTGTTAGTGGAATCAGAGCTCATTTGGCCTTTTAATAAGTGAACTCATACATTTTTTTTTTGTTCTGTACTGAAACTAATTTGTCCTGTCCGAATAAGTGTAGCTTAGAAAATCCTTTAAAGAAGAAAGTCTCATTGTTGTGTCTGGTCTTCCAGGCTTTTGTTTAACTCCCCCTATGAACTTGAAAGGAGGCCTACGAACTGTCAAAACAGTCTGGTCTGTCTTCAGCTGTGAATTAGCAACATTGTTTGGCATTAAGCTATATCGAGTGTGGACTTGGGGTTCCCTTTACTGAAGTACCTTGTAATAAGATGGAGAAATAACAACTTTACAAAATCCATTTTGTTATACTATTTGTCATGGATACAAAGGAAACACATCCTCAGCTGGGGTCTGGCGGTCCCCCAATCAGTTCACCAAATGAAGCATTTATTGGGTTAGCTGACATCACGCTTTTGTACCCATTTCTAATGCTGGGTCCTTGACTGGGGTGGTTTGAATTCAGTACCTTACTCAAGTGTACAGAACCAGTCCCCCACCCAGGATTCGAACCCACAACCTTCCAGCGACACGTCCACAGCCCTAGCCGCTGCTCCACACTGCTGACTAAAGTTCAATTTGACTTCCACGCCTCCTCATGTATGCAATTTAGAGCGAAGCGTGTGTTCTTCAGGCTTCGAACAAGGACACGAGGCAAACCTGGCCTACATAACATTTGGTCCTTTTAGCAGTCGTAAGTCTGGCAGAATGCACGTGACTTTCACTTTTTGTCTGTCCTCTCACCTTAATTAGTTGGAAACGGTGAACACAGCAGCAGCCCTCTTGTTAGTAAATCCCCCCCCCACTTTCTCTCATTCAATCAGGGCAGTGGTCCCCTTCCTCCTGAGTTCTCTCGTGGTAATTGTGGCATGCAGGGTCAAACAAGAGCCTAGTCATAGTGTGTTCCCTGGTGACTCGGAGGCATTATGGCAGGCTGTCTGGGCTAATCATTTCAGGCGGACCATGGAAAACCACTTTGGTTAAGCCTGCATCACCCTGTTCCACCAGTGGAAAAAAAAGTCTACACTCAGAGGGTGTAGCTAGCACATAAAAATACACCCCTACCAGAATGCAGGCTTTTCTCTCTCTCTCTCTCTTTCCTCTTAATGGTTTTGCTTTTGAAGATTGCTAGGCAGCGACCTTCTGGGCTTGTGAAGGGAGTCTCTGTGCATTTGTGTTAGAGAGACTTAAAATATCCAGCGTGACATCGGAGAGCACTAAGTTCTTCTCGTGCGTTTGTGCTCAAACGGCTGATAGATTAAAGCCCTGAACAGAGGTAAGGATTGTTTTTGCTTTGCTTTTGTTTTTAGTTTTCTTACGTGGGATTAAGAGGGGAGGGGGGAACTTCACAGAGCTGCTTTTTATCCCTTGCACAGGTGTGGAGTAGCAGTCTCTGGATCTCGGAAACCTCCAGGGAAATGAGCCGTTTCCTTTGTTTGGCTCCTGTGTTATTTGCCACACCATGTTATTTTAGCATAGCGGGAGAGAAAACGAATGTTTTGTGTGCGTGTTCTACGGAATACAAGTTCTGTAGTGGACTCATTGTGATGGACCTGTTTTGTCAAAGGAGTGCAGCTCGTCCTGTTTAACGAGGCTTGTTTGCTTTTGCTTTTTAACCCTCTTTGAGCATATGAAGAACGATTTGTTATTAGCAGCAGTTTGGAGTTATGTTGCTAACTGAATGTGATTTAGGCTCCCCAGCGCAGAGTCTGTTTTTCTTTTCCTTGTGCTTTCCTGTTCCCACTCTGCCCCTGTCGTACTTGGTGGAAGGACACGATTTGAGCTCTGTTTGGGGATTTTTATTTTGCCTTTTAGTCTGAAGTGTTTTGTGTTCTGTTTTACTGAGCTGTGTTGCGATGGCAAGCATAATGTGAATCACTTTTAGGAAGGCAGCCAAGAACAGAGAACAAAATGAAAACTATGACTTTAAGACACTTGTCTTAAATAAAATAAACAATTTTAGTTCAGAATGCTGTTGTGCTGTGTAGATAATATTCCTGCTATTTGGTTCCTGAATGAATACACGTTATCCCTGTAATTTTGAATTGGGATTTATATAAGTTTATTCCTCTTGTGTCTGAAACTTTGTCGTTTCTTTTTTCTGCTCAGTGTTGTCCCTGCTGGCTGTCCGTGCGGTGTTTAATTTAGTCTCATGTTGAGGATGAGGTCAAGAAGTGCATGGCAATAAATAGAATAGTCAGCCCTCACCAGGATGGGTCAAATTTAAAAAAAGTTTTTTTTCCTGTTGTTGGTTTATAATGTTTTAACAGGGAGGCAGAGGATGGGATGGCAGCAAACCAATCCGCATGTTTTAGCTAAGCTGCCCGGCTCTGTGATATTTTCTAACGTGTCGAGGATGTAAGTGGTAATTCCTTGATGAAGGCCATTGCTGCTGAGAAGTGATTGTTATACTAAATTTACTTGCACAAAGGCTTAAAAAGCACTTTTGAATTGCAGTGAGCTTTATAGACTTTATACTTGCCGCAAGCTTTGACCTACTGCGTCAACAATACCATGGTGTAGAGCAGTACTGGCTGTTGCCATTGGAAAGCGAGCAATTTTAGGTGCTCTGTTTAAAAAAAATCACTAAATTTGGCCTTTCAGGCTTGTTTCACGATACAGCTGGGCATCACTTTGTAAAGGTGGATGCTGCACATTGGTGCTGGTGGAGGGGAGTCCCCATAACCTGTAAAGTGCTTTGAATGGAGAGTCCAGAAAAGTGCTTTATAAGTGTAAGCAATTATTATTATTATTATTTATTAAAGAGGTGTGCTGCCTTGAGTTAACAATCACGGGTAAGCATGCTTTTCTTTACTACAGTCTTGGGTTTATAGGCTACAGGCTGTGCATCATAGGAGTCTTTAAATACTTAATTGCTACATGACTGCATTCGTTTTTCTCTCACTTAATCGAGGGCATCGCACCCCCCCCACCAAAAAAAAATAAAAAAAAACAAAAGGAGGAATTTTTAATTGCCTTGTATATTTATATTTCCGAAAACCATGTCCTTGTACTAGAGCAAGAGGCTCCGGCAGTCGAAGTGTTCTGGGCAAGAGGGAGACTAAACAAAGGGGTTGATTGCAGCAAGACCCACTTCCAGCCTTGTAGCAGCTCTCAAGAATGCAGGGCAGCGGTTACGGGCGGCTTTTAAGAAACGGCAGATGGCCCATACGAAGGCTCAACAAAAGTGTGATGCAACGCGCACAATATGCTTTTATTAGCGCATGTCACAGCGCAAGGTGGAGGCGACGCACAGACAAAAAGTGGCTGAAAAGTTGTCATCCACACAGTACTTGCCTGGTGACTTTTGGCTTTTCCCAGAGGCTGCTAATATATCGGAACCCTTTGAGACTTCTCCCCGATGTTTCCCCTTTTAAATAGCTTATTATGCTGATCATAAAGCTGAGGCAGGAGCCTCAAACTCCTGGAAGGCTGGCGTTTTCTGTTTAATACTTCTAACCAAGCTGTGATGTGTTTCATAGGTTTGATCTTTTGTATCAATCAATACATCAATTTTGTATTTTTGTAGGTTTTGATGTTTTGTACATAAGAACCCTTACAAATGCAAGGAGGACATCCAGTGTATTTAAACAGTTTGGTAGTGAGCAGCGAATTGATCTGAAGATCTCATCCAGTTGTTTCTTGAAAGAAGCCAGGGTATCGCCTTCAACAAGATGGCTGGGTCGCTTGTTCCACACTCCCACAACCCTTAGTGTAAAGAAGTACCTCCTGTTCTCGGCTGAAATGAACTGGCATGAAGTTTCCACTTGTGTCCGCTGGTTTTTCTGAAATGGGGAGGGTCATGTCTGTGCCGTCGGGGAATTTGATTACTTGAATCGGGTCCCCTCACAGTCTTCTCAGTTCCAGACTAAAATGTGTTAAGGCATTTTAGCCTGTCAGTGTTGGATGGTCCTTTTAAGCCCAGGAATGAATCTAGTGCTCCCGTCTGTATTGGTTATAGAGCAGTAATTTTTTTTCTGTAAAGTGATTTAAAATTGTACACAATTACAAATTATTGTAATTTAAGCCTTACTAGTGCATTGTTCAGTTTTAGTACTCTTTGCTTTAAATTGAACCAATAGTTGTAAAATGTTAAGGATCTTAAGGAAAATTCTTCGTATGCGTATATACAGTGTATAAGAGCATAGTATAAAATAACTTAATTGACACCAGGCCTTCAAGGAATTAAGTTTGAAAACCCTTGGCTTAAGGGATGATAGTTTTTGTATATTCATTCCACTGTCCTTTCTGTTGAAAACAATGACTGGCATATTTGGTGATTTCTGTGCAATTTCACCTTCTGTTTGTGTTATACGCTGTACATCTATTTTTATGGTGCTTTTTTGAAAGATGTCCGCTTTCAGGCTTTTTAGAGTGTGTTTTGTTTCAACAGTCACTTCACTTTTATTGCAAAGCCAAATGTCAGCATGAACAGATTAGGCTTCTCCAGTGGAGTTGCTTCCCACAGCTGAATGAAGCAGAGGTGTTTTTTAGAGTCTCTGTGCCACTTACGAGTAAGCTTAGGGTTGATATGGCTGGCTGTGGCCTTTCAAATTCCCTGCGTCACCAACCCGCAGGGCCATGTGAGCCTCAGGAGCCCTGTGCAGTGTCAGAGATATGACTTCTATACCCTTCACCTTGATGGCTTTGGGAAGCAGCTTCCTTAATGAAATTCAGCTGCACTTAAGATTTAGGCTAGCTGCTCAATGCATGTTTTTGTCAGTGCTTGTGGATCCTGCTTCCGTTTAACATGTTTAACATGAAACCAAAAACATCATATACTGTGTGTGTCCTTGGGATATTCTGTGGACTAGTCCAGTGACGGAGTCTAGTCTCTGTTATGTTCACCTTCTCTGGTTCATCGTAAACACCTAAAAGGAGGGTTTCCAAAGGACACTTTACAGGAGAGAAAGATCCATCCCCATAACGGGTCTTGAGTGGGGTTTTAACAGAATTACTGATAACGGCCCTCTGATGCGATTTGGGAGGTACAGTAGTCTCGCAATAAGGAACAGTGAGCAAACAACCGACTGGCCAGAGGTCTCCCAGCTGTGTCTCCAGCCTGACTGGGTCGGGCTCGTGTAGAAGAGATGAGGCCTGCTGTGAATGTGCGCTCCCTCGACTCAGTGGGCCTCCGTGTCTTTTCTGCGTCTGGTGTGGAAACAGGCAGTGGTCGGTTTCAGGCCCAGTTTAAGAAAACACTGCTGTTATTCTTGTCAAAGAAGCCAAGACGTAGCTACTGTTCTTGTTCTTGGCTACTTCCTGTATTTTTCTGAACACCCACAATTAGTCCTTTGTAGTTTAATTTTTGCATTGTATCTCGAATGCTCTTACAGGGGGATATCAGCTTTAATTGTATGGAAATGGGGTGTAGGTGTATTCACCATGAGCAAAGTTAATTCCATATAAAGGCAGACGAAATGTGTACAGGAAAGAGTTTTTGGGGTGGTTACGTAGTCCGTGGAGGAGAGTATTACAGCAGTGCAGTGCTGTAACTGATGCTTTATTTGGCGTTCATTGGTGGCGCAACTTGGCAGCTGACAGAAAAATGAAAATTACATGGAATTCCACAGTTCAAAAACAAATACTGGCCAACTGAAGCTGCTTTTAAAAACTTTCCCGGCCCTTCAGATCAAACGTCACTGAGTGCTACAAAGCACGAAAAAATGTAGCTTGCGTGTACCTTTTTTTTTTAAAAAGGAATTTTCTTGAATAAGAATGTGATATAGACTAGTAATGTACCCCTTTTAAAAAGGAGGGTGGCCAAAGAACACTGCACAAAAGTGAAAGATCCAGCAAGATCGATTATGGATCTTGAGTGAGGATTTAAACGAATTACAGATAACGGCTCTCTAATGTCATTTAGGAGGGAGTCTCACAATAAGGAGCTGGACAACGGTTTTTAGGTACACTGTAGATATGCTGGTAGTCCTGGGAATGCAGGGCCCTTGTATGTGATGTTAGTGATAAATAAGATATAAACATCCCATGTAGCCCTTTTTATCCCCACCAAAGGAACTTAACACCAGCATACAAAGAAACTGCTTACTAGTGGAGAGATTTAAGAATTGTAATTTCATCTCTGCTTCCTAATCCATTAACTATGGTTGTTAGATTGAAGGTCAACATGCAAAGAATCACTATTGTCATTGTGACGTATCAGAAGATTTCCTTGTGTGCGACCGTTTGTAGCCTGGATGTACGGTAGAAAGCAGCATTGGTCATGTATGTTTTTTACACATACCGTACCCTCTTCTTTCTGCTTTCAGATGACCTTAAGGAGGCTGAACTGCTGTAGTTGTACAGACCATGCAGTTTGGTGGGATTTCTACTGATAGCAGAGACAACCGTTGGTAAGGAATTCAGTTTCCATTCATGTTTTATCAGTTTTGTTGTATTGCAGCCCCAGTTCATTTTTAGAAAAAAATGCTTAAAAAAAGTCTCTGATCCACGTTTTATTTTAAGAGTTTGCGCTACTGATCCGGGTGTCATTCTGGGCTGTTCCTCTGTTTTGTTGGAAATGAGAAAATTTTTTTTCTTTGATGGTCATGCACATGTCTGGCTAATTAAAGGCCTTTTAGTCTCTCTGGAACTCATTCCATGCTCCTGTCACACATAACATCCGTTAAGCACATAAAACAGCTGGTCACGACTCCTTGTCTTTTATTATGATATTGTACATTTTACTGAACTACCCAAAGATGTCTTTCCATGGAGGTTCAGGCTTGTTTATGAACTTGTATGGATGCGTCAATGAAAAGTCTAGACAAGATAACTAAATATATCATCTAACAAAATTTTGAATTTTTTTGTTATATTTAATAACAGTTAAGCATTATTCACGGATACAAAAATGGAAGTAGCCGAGAGACACTTTTACCTTTTATATTAATATATTTGTATTAATAAATGTAATGACCTAAAGTATATACCAGACTTTAACCTGCATTTATTTTAAATTAGCTGATACTGCATAACATTTTCAAACAGGAATTTCAAGCCAGTATTTTACAGGTTTCTGCATGTTGTACAGTATGTGACTCCAGAAAACAGGCGAACAGTACGGGCAAATGAGCCTCTCCCAGACCTTAGACTTTCCATTCTTCACGTTTATGCTTTCCTTCTTGAGACGCTCAGAATCGCAACCACCTTATTTGCGGAGTACGTCACGCATACAAGGATTCTGATCGGGTGTCTTGGTGCAAAACCATAGAAACGATCAAACGAAGCTGTTTGGATGCCGGTAGGTTTGGGAGTTGACCGGTCTCCCCGAGGGCGAGTTTTGAAACGGGCGGCGTCCTGGATGAGGCGGGTCAACAATGATGCTAACATCAAGTATTTGAAAAGAGTCGGGGGTGTTACCCTGGCATCCTGGCCAAATTTCCCAGGTCTTTTGATTGGCCTTTGCCAGTCATAGCCTCCTCTCTGAACTGGCTCCATCCCTCTGCTCTCCTCCCCACTGAGAGCTGGTGTGTGGTGAGTGTTCTGGTGCACTATGGCTGCTGTCGCATCATCCAGGTGGGGGCTGCACACTGGTGGTGGTGGAGGGGATCCCCATGACCTGTAAAGCGCTTTGAGTGGAGCGTCCAGAGTGTAAGTTTTAATTTTTTTTTAACACGGCCACCTCCCGCGGTGACGCGCGGTGTCGTCTTCCCGTTGCAGATCAGAATGGGGAACTCCGACAGCCACTACAGCCTTCAGGGGCCCAAGAGCGGCGGCGGCGGCGGCGGCGGCGGCGGCGGCGGCGGCTTCATCCTCCCCGGCAAGCAGAAGGCCTGCTCCCTGCGGTTCCGCGCCGTCCACGCGAAGGACGAGCACTCCCGCTCCCCTCACGGCTGGGGCCGCGGCGGGGGCGCGGGAGGGCCGGGGTACAAGTCGCGGGCCCTGGCCCGGGGCTGCCTGTCCCAGCACAAGGGCGGCCAGCCGTACGTCCCCCGCCATTACGACTATGTGACCAAGGGAGGGAGGACCGGCGCCGGCAGCAAGCACGGGACGAGCCCGCCCGCCAGGGGCGGCCAAGCCGGCAACTTCCTGCTCGTGCCCGAGAACGGTTTTCCCTGTGCCGGCGGCGAGCGGACGGGAAATCGCTACGTAGCCGCCGGGGAGCGCAATGGCCACGTCGCGAACGGACACGGGACCCCCGAGCAGGTTTCCCTGGCAGACCTGGATGGAGACCAGAGCAGCCCCAAGGTGCTCATCAAAACGCTCGGCAGGTTCGACGGCGCCACGCGGGTGGAGTTCACCAACACCACCAACAACAACAAGCTGGCCGTGGATGACTCCGGCGGGCCCGTGCAGTTGCTAAAATACTCCCCGGCGCCGCAGGTCCCCGCCGACAACCCAGAGATCCTCAGGCGGCACTCCCTGGCCGTCTCCGAGGCAGAGCCGAGCCTCGCCCCGGCCGACGCGGGCCTGAGAGCCAGCAAAGGAAGCTCCCTGAGCTCGGAGTGCTCCTGGTACGACTCTCCGTGGGGCAACGGCGCGGAGCTCAGCGACGCGGACAACGCGTCCTCCTCCGCCAGGACCGCGGGCGCCTGCGCCGGTGAGGCGGTGCCGCCCGGCGACCAGCGGCTGCTCGGCCGGCGCGCGTCTCCCGTTTCCCTCCAGGACCTGTACAGGGACGCCGGGCTGGCCGCCACCTTCCCCGCCGCGAAGGAGCTGTCGAGCCGGTACCTGGGCGTGCCGTGCGGTGGCGGCCACCGCGCGTCCTTCGTGTCCACCCTCGACGTGGCGGCCCAGGGGGAGTGCCTGGGCTCCAAGCAGTACGCCTCCTACCCCCTGCCCTGCCGCAGGTCGAAGCCCATCGTGGAGGGCAGCGCCAAGAAAGACACCCTGAAGAGCCGCATGAGGCGCATCAGTGACTGGACCGGGAGCCTGAGCCGCAAGAAGAGAAAACTGCAGGTGAGACTCTATTTCCGTGCTTCAGAACGGCTCGCCACCCGATTTAAAACACTCTCGCCGCAGGGACGGGGCATCACGTTTCGGTGGAAGGCGGGGTAGACATGCCGGTAAATTCTCCACTATAATTATTTCTCTCCAGACGAAGATTCTCCTGGCCCCTTTTCCCCAAACGGTTTCCGATACGACGGATACTGTATCGCGGCCCGTCAGATTGCCACGGGTCATCTTGGTTTTGCAGCCGCAATCAAATGGGAAATCGCTAATGCGCTTGCTCTCTGGGGGAGCCAGCGCCTGAGAGATGTAGATGCAAATGCATGCAAAAAATGTTCTGTTATCGGGGGGGTGGGGGAACGTCTGTTATCGAAAACCGACTGCTTTTCTCATACCGGGATTTTCTGGATGCTCGAGATAGTTTGTTTCAAAAGGGAACTCGATAGACGGTAAATATCTGTAATAGTTCACATTTTTTTTTAATTGTGGGAAAAGGAGCTCTGCTATTGAATTTTCCCCATTTCCTTTCTTTTCCTTGCCTGGTTTTCCTGCACGCATAACGGAGCTGCTTTGATTGCTCCCAGCTTCTCACGCGTGTGCATGAGTGTCTGAGAACCGGACAAATGAGGTGTCTGATGCTTCCGATGGTGTTGATGGTATTTTTTTATTTTTTAACCACAGCCTTCTGTACAGCACAATTTCTCTGTTCAGAACACCTGCTGAAAAATATAAAAGTGTGTGTTCAGCGGGAGGGTGTAGGGGGGAGCTGTGTTTGCATGCTGTGTATTAATACTTGCAGGGGAGAGCGTTCATGCTGGTGGGTTGCTGTGCAAACCATTCTCTAGTCATGGGTGTTCCAAGGAAAAGGCGCCGTTTCCAATCCTCCAGCACTTCGCATTGGCATTGAATTCTTGATCTGTATTTTCGAACGTTTTTTTAAATAGTGCTGATATTCAGAGCAGGCACTGTGCACAAGCATCTGCATGTGGCGGCGACTTTTTCCTGTTGTGAGAACCGCACCGTGCTTTTTTTAAAGACGCCGTTCCACCTCCCAGCCCCACGAGTGGACATTACTGCCAGCATTCACGCCCCAGGGAATTTCGTTCCTCCTTGGCGAACACAAAACTTAATTTCCCCAGCTTGTTAGGCAGACTGAAAGAGAAGCGATAACCTGACAGGTTTTTGGCCGGGCCCACCTGGGGTGGAAGCGCGCGCAGGGCAGCAGAACGCCGCGTAGCCGAAAATTAAAGCCGCGTCCGTATGCCAAATGCCAGTGAAATAGCACCAGCTGTCCGGGATGCGTCTCGGGGCTCTGAAAATTAGATCCGTGACGCTGCCGAAGACAGGACGTCACTACAAGCTAGGAAAGAGAGCTTCCACATGGGATGTAAAACGCCAACCGTCTCGCAATGAAACGCCGAAGAGACTTGTGCAAGCCTGCTGTATCTGCCAGGGTAAGCAGGGACACTGGCTGAAAAGAGCTCCTCACCATGGTCTGTCAGGATATGTATGTATTCACTCTCTTTTGCCCTTCAGGGGTCTCGGCAGCCAGAGGGGACAGTGTGTTGTTTGTGGTCGCGTGGAGGAACTTGTGAAACGTTGGTCCGGGGTGGCCTGCTGCTGCTGTACACGCTGTGGGGCCTCCGTGTGCACTCAGAGTAAAAATGTGCTCTTAAAAAGTGCGCTAAGTAAGAAACAAAGATGAAAAAGGTTTATTTTTTGTATAAGTAGCGGTAATGCGTCTCTTTCTAGGTGGTTATCTAACTACGGTGAAATGGCCTTGATGGGTTGAAGTGTCTCTTCTCCTTTATGACCGTTCTTTATATTTAAAGCCCATGAAAGCGAGGCTTTAAAGTTTATTTTGTGATTTAGATCTTCTGGCTCTGATTGATAACAGCTTAATGATCTTTGACATAAGAAGATGTGGGGGGGGGGAATATATATGAATTGCTGTTATTCCTGTGTATGGACATCTGCTTTTAATGGTTTGTGTTGCTATCCCGGTATAATGAACTCCACGTTTTCAGGAAAGAAAAAAAATGGTTTTAGGTGAGGAGTGAAGTATTCTAACAGCACACCTGTATTTAATAGGCGGTCTCACAAATAAAGAAGTAAGTTTTAACGTGGGCAAGAAGTTCTAGCTTTCTTCAAGGTGATTTGTACATTTGTCATTATTGAAGCTGGACTTCCTCTAAATGCGTAGAAAGCAGTCAGCGTGCTAGAAATCACTGCAAAGCTCTGTTTGTGACGTAGTCAAGGTATGTGCTAGTGACGATTCAAAATATTTATCGTTAGGGCACAGTATCTGTTGTATCAGATATTTATCTGATGTAGTTGATTTGCAGTTTTTAATTTAGTGGAGATCTGTTCTGTCTTATTATGTTTATTATATACTGAGAGATAAAAAAAACATCAAATTAATATTTGAATATATACAATAGAATTTAATGCATATAAATGCTTCTCGGTGCATTTTAAAATTAATTTGTTAGACTTTAGAGTTCCTCCCCAAGGAGCTTCAGTCTGCTCAAACCTCCCCAGTCACTTATCATCAGCGTTTAAACTGTTATTTCCTTAAAGGTGGTGTTAAGAAATGTTGCAGCAAATGTTGGCAAAAATTGAAGAGACAAAAAAAAATGTTGATTGCATAATGTAAGTAAAGAGGCCTGTTAACTAAGTATTTACAGCAGCATTTATTACACTTGATGATTAAGTAGACTTTGTTCCCAGGAATATTCACAGACTGTTCAGTATTCTCCTGATCTGTGCTTTGTAATGTCTTTATCCCTGACTTGAGCAAGAATTAAAATAGGTTGTTGTGACTGAATCTTGGCTTGAAATTCGGCATCCTCACGGCGACATTTTATTCTAAAGTCATGTGAGCCACTACTATTGCACAGAGGCCACTCCACTAATGTGAGGCTCATTAAGGTAATTTTGTGCATCTAAATTAAGGTTTCCCACCACTAAGAGTTTTGAATACTAATGGAATCATGTTTTTTTGCTTTGAATGCATGGTGTCGGTTGTGTATTCAACAAATATCAATTTCAAAGAGTCATGACTCAGTGTGAATTTGGTATTTACAGCTGTATTTGCTACGGTTGATTATATTAAGTATATTAATCCCAGGGCAACAAAATGTGACAACTGCAAGAGTTTGAAAACTTTTTACAATGCTCTTATAAATGTGTCTGTTCGTACATATTGATAAAGTTTAGGTGACAAATCATCAAATGTAGAGCTTGCTAAAACTTTCAAGAGTCAGTGAGGTGTATTTGAAAAGGTTTGCCAGAATGGGCCGGGGCCTTTTGATCGTGGGATAGTTTTGTGTGTGTTATCTGGTTTGAAGCATGTGTGCTTTAGTAACAGGCAAATGAAACCACTGTCTGGAGGCTTGTAGAGGGATGGGTATCCTACATGAAACACAAAATGGCATCAGTCTACTAGATTCATAATTTTAATGTTACTGGAAAAGAAAGAATTGTGTTACAATTAAGTGTGAACCCATTTTCCTAATGAGGTGAAATGTGAGCGAATCTTTAAGGGGATGACCAATCACACTGCAGTGGAGTTGTAAAAAGCTGCCCGAGATGCTTGCCTGCTTGCTGGTGCACTTCCTGTTGGTAAGTCTGTGAGGAGTAAAAGGCAGGTGCTCAAGGAATGTTCACAGGGCTGCTGCATTTGTCAAAGCATTTCCCTTCACACACGGAGACGGAGCCATCGAAACCACATTAGAACGTTTTCTTCCTTTGATGGCTTTTTCTCCGCTTCGTCCAACTGAGGGTCGTGGGGGAGCCTATCCCAGCAAGCAGCGGGCGCAAGGCAGTGTACACCCTGGGCAGGACGCCAGTTCATCGCAGGGCACACACAGACACAGACTCGCACCCGGGCCAGTTTTCCCAGAAGCCAGTTAACCTTCCAGTATGTCTTTGTGATGTGGGAGTAAACCAGAACGCTCGGAGGAAACCCATGCTCAAGTTGAAGCATGAGGTGGGAAACCAGTGGGGGATACGGTAAGGTGAAAGGTCGCATTCGGTGACTTCCCCTTTCACCCTCCCGTGTTTTCTGTCGGCTCCGTAATGTTGGCCCCCCTACAAACAGCACAAACGATGAAGCCCACCTCTTTCGTTAGTGCTGTGTTTGTGTGCAATTTAGTTTTTT